TTAGGCAGATTCAACCCACCTGACAAAGACGGGGGGGGGGGTACTGTTGAGGGGCTGGGTTGGTTGTAATATTCAACCAAAATATTAGCTTTCAATGTGGGGCTTCACAGATTCAATCTTAAACCCTAAATGTAGAATTGTAAATATTTATAATAATGTCAGTACTGTTTAAGAGAGAGTTAAAAAGAGTCAAACTGAGCCTTTAACTTTCGCCTCTTGAACATTGTCAGTTCAAAGTGCAACTTCTACTCCTCTGTTACGCTTTTGTCATTCGTGTCAATGTCATAGAGGCGCAATGGTGTGGCAAAGTAGTTTCACTACTGAACTAGCATCATAGGTATAGCACAGGAGGTGTAACCAGGACGAGGCAGGGTCACTGTTATACAGCGAAGCCTGCAGGACAGAACAGTGGTTTGCGTTGTGTGTTTGCACTATTGTGTGTTTGTGTATGTGAAGCGCCTCTCCTGCTTCCATAATGCAATATAAAAATCACTGGGTCACCGCCTCACCTACATTATACCATGGCAGATTCAGTGTAGAATTACAAAGACGCAGGAATAGGGGGGACACTAGTGGAATGTAGTCAGTCTCCATTTTTTAAAAATAATTTATATTTTATTGATTTTTATAACAACATTATAATGACAAACAAACAGATTAAAAGGGAACAATAAAACAGGCAGGAAACATAATAGACAATAAATGGGTGACAGAAATTAGATACAACGATGCAGAAAGTATCAACAGTGCATCACCAGAAGGAGGGCGTATGACATGTGCTTGCAAACAAACAGAAGTCAATCAACACCCTGTGCAGTGATGTGTTGCGTTCTCCTGATATAAACTGGCTAAAATTGTCCCATTGCTCCTCACAAGCAGCTATTGTCATCATTTCTTCTTTCCACATGTCAGTCTCAATTTTCTCTCTGAGGGACGACGACTCTACCAACTGAGCCACAGGATGTAAACAGCCTTGCCCTGAGGCTTAGGTTAGCTAACATGCTACTGTCCACAGAAACTACAGGAACAGATACCACCTCCATTGTTGATTGTGCCTCAACTATCACCTTCTCATCCAAATGTATTAAACCGTCTGAATTTTTGTCCCACTGAAAGTTGTAGTCCTCCTCAATTTTGTATCATCTGCTTGCTTCTGAAATCAGGAGTTCTCAGGGGATCAAATGTGCTGGTACGTTCCTCCCTTTAGCACACACGATAATCGTTTGAGATTAGAGAATATCTGTGAAGTTATCCTTACTGTATGAGCGTGATGCAGATATTGTAATGGATTTTAAAAACTCCTGTAATCAGAGCCCAGCCTGGTATCTTATTATTTCTTTTAAAGCACTGATATAGAGTTACAGATCACTCATCGTCCAAGCTTTCCGATTGGTCCCGGAGAATCTCAGAAAGTGTTGCCTCCGATCCTCCTCCGTCCCCTGTGGGCCCGTGACGAACTCAGCAGAGTGTGAAGGCTGGAGGGGCCTTTAGCTTTAGTTCCTTCATCTGTGAAGGTTATCTCTGAAAGGCTTTGGTTGCAACCTACAAATATATCCCCTCTAGGTAATACCTTAAAGGAGCCTCGGTTCTGGTAACTCGGTGGGTAATCTCTTTAAGGGTCCCACTCCTGGAGAGAGTGAGTTTTCTCGCTGGGTAAGCTGTGAATATATGAAAGATCCCGGTGCCCAAGTGATCAGAGCGCTGTGAGACACCCCAAGTCCTGTGGTGTCAAGCCCATCTCCAGCCGTGGCACCTATATCCCCAGGCGAATCACGGCAGCTGGAATTCTCCCCTCCCTGCCCAACCCAACCTGTCAGAGGCACACACACACTCTCGCACACACACACACACACAAAACACACACGCGTGTATGTTTCCCTCACACACCGGGGGAGCAGGCAGGCATGGAGCTGGTCTCGGATTTTATCGGAGGTGACAGCTCCTCACACTTCAGTGTTTGGATCACCTCAAGTAGCTGGGCTATGAGGGGAAATGAGCACTGCTCCACTACAAAGTCCAGATTTAGATTGACTGAGCTTGTCCCCGGGCCTGTGGGCTGCTGCTGCTGCTTCTGCTGCTGTACTGCTCCTCCGCCTGACAGAACACCCACTACTGCTGCAAGGGACTGGTATGTGTGTGTATTTTTGTGTGTACGTCTGGGTGCTTTAAATTTGCGCGTGTGTGTGTGTGTGACTTGGTGGAGCCTACTTTGAAGAGTCAGAGGGAGTGGGGGGGGGAAAGAGAGCGATGTGTCAGGTTTGGTTAGAATTGAGGGTGGCATCAGAATATGCTTGGCACTAATATGGCACCAGTATCTCTGTCCCCGTCTCTGCTTTCTGTCACTTAGTTGCCATTCTCTTCCCGCCCTTGACAATGTCTCTTTGGATTATGTGATTGGACTTAGCGCTTGGAGCACCCCTCATCCCTCTGCGACACCGCCTCTCCCATAAGTCTCTTCTTTCCTTGCTCCGTCTCTCCAGCCTTCCCGCCCCCTCCCCGTTCCTTTTATTATGCACTTGATGTCTATTTAAGAAGCCCGGCGAAAGCTGGATCTGTTCTGCTGTCAGAGGATCATTGACAGCACTAATGCCACTTGTCCTTGCCTCATTTGGTGAGAGGTGACACCTAGCAGCAGCTCGCCACATTCATCAAGTGGCGATGGGAGCGCTGTGACATCAGAGCTAGAGCAGACCAGCGCTGTAGGCAGCACTCTATCTGCGCAGTAACACACTTTTTTATTATATTAAGAGAGCAGTGTTGGCCATCTTGGATTCACTATTTTATGTGAAAATCAGCATTTTGCTGGGGAGTTTTCTCTACTTTTTCAAGTAGCTTCCTGATAGTAGTACTACTTTCATATTTGTGATCCAACTAGTTAAAATACGTTTTGCCATTTTTTGGCCTTTATTTGATAAGACACCTTAAAAAGACAGGAAAGCAGTGGGGAGGGCATAACATGCACCAAATAGCATCAGGATCAGGAGTCAAACTTGTGAGCAGTGAATATTCTTTGTGCACGGGGTGCCTACTCTACCAAATATGCTAAATCAGGGGTTGAGGCTGTTGATTGACAGGTGAACATGTTCCTGTTTGCCATGAGGCTGAAGGCCCGCCTTAACTCTAACTCTTTTCTTGTTACTAGACTGATGGAAAGTTAGGTTGCGATAGAATTTACAATATGACAGCCAAAGTCTGGCTTCATAGCACCTCTTCCAAAAACAATGAATGACATCACTGAGACTACGTCCATGTTTCATACAGTCTATGAAAACCACATTTTTTATGTGAGTGTCGGGGAATTGCCTCACTTGTATTATACATTTGAGTTGTTAAATCTCTCCAGAGATCAGCAAACTTTTCCACTCTGACTTTGTTTAACACAGTTTATAATAAGAGACAGAATCAAAGTTCTCTGCGATTCTACCGACTCTTACATGATCTGGCTTTTAGGAACCAAGGGCTTTCATTAAGAGCACCACAAATGGACATAGAATGTGCTTAATGTACAAAGACATAGACACATAGACATGCCTCACCCATACCTTCTGATGGTTAGATAATAGCTCTTTTATTTGTTGTTGGCGGATGACTGTAAGCTTAAAGTTGATGGGAGTTTGCCTTTAGGGCGCATTGGTCATTCTTTGGAACAAGATGTTCAACCTTTCCAGGAACAGCTCAACAAGTTCAGACCCAGACTCTGTTCAGTCCTGCCATTTAAAGTCACCCTGTGGAGTTGTAGTACAAAAGTAAACAAACATGGTTTTGTTCATAAGGAATGTTTGTGTACACTTTTTCTGTATCCCTAAGGTCTAAGGAACAAAGTAAGGCATTGCACCCATCTCATGTCTCATCATTTTGTGGGCTCCGTTGTCTCAGTGATTTTGAGTCATTTGCAGAGAACTCTTTCATTCCAGGATAAAGGACCCATTGTAACTACTATCAATGCTATACTATACTTCAGTATCATATAAGATACAAATGTGCTTTTATAGCATTGCAACAAGGAAGTAATTTTGACTTAATAGGTCTGTCAAAAGAATTATCTATGCCCTGTAGATAACAAAACGGTCTTTATTTTTTAGTTATGACCATTTGAATCAGTACTTCCAAAAATAGTGTCATGGTCCCTTTAAATAAAGGACCACTTTGATCTTTTTCTTTATTTTGTTGTTGTTGCTAACCAGTTAGCCAGATGCATTCATGATTTACGTCTGCACAGGGGATTTTTTTTGTTTTGTTTGTCAGCAGGATTTGAGAAAAACTTCAGGCCTGATTTTCATCAACTTGGCGTTAAATTGTAGAAAAATGACACAAGTTGAACACTTCTTGTCTATGACAAGTGCAAACAGACATACAATACAATACAATGAGAGCTTTGTATGGAAGCCCTATGTGGACATGTAACCATACATATTATTGACTTCATTTTCCTCTCGTAGTCATTTACGGCTTGTTTTCTTAAGTTTTCTAAATGTAACGGGATGACAAAGCTTGTTTTCCCATTATGATGGATTAACTTATCTTATTATCTTAAGGTAGCAAGGCTTGTTTTGGGGCGCAGATGGCCTAGTGGTTAAGTTGCTCCCCATGTAAAAAGGAAGAGGTCCTCCGAGGAGGCAGCCCAGATTTAAGTGCGACCTGCAGCTCCTTTCCCACATGTCATTACCCATACTCTTTCCACGTCCCTGTCCAAATAAAGGCAAGCACCCAAAAATAAATCTTTAAAAACAGATTATCAGTGATGAGATGGGATGTAGTCTGTCTGTAAGTCACTCAAATATTTAAAAGGTCACTGTGTATTGATGCTACATGTGCATTACTATAACCAGGTGTGAACACAAACAGTCTCTTATTCTCTGATCCTGAATGCTAGAAAAGGACGGGCACACATTTTTTATCCCATAAATAATACATGTTTTTATATTTATTTTTAATACTACATGCATGACCCACATCTTACCTGACTCTCTCTCCTTCTGTTTTTTTTCTTTTTTTTTTAGGGGTATTCGCCAAGTGTCGCTACGTCTACTACGGCAAGCACTCAGAAGGCAACAGATTCATCCGGAACGACCAGCTCTGATGGACAGCCGCTCAGGCAGAAAGAGGGACATGATATACAATGGATGTTAACAGAAGGAAAAAGATCGAATCTATCTTTTATTTATTGTAACCACTGCTGATATTTGAGTTGTCCGATTCCCGCTGGAAAAGAGTATACATGTAGTTATGCAAGGGTAATGTTTTTTTTTTTTTTGGCGGGGGGGGGGGGGTTGAAGTTTTTAGAGTTTTATTCTGGACTCATAGTTAGGACCTCCTCTGCTGAGCTCGGTCTGCTTCTGCCTCTTTGCTTTAAGCTCAGAGTCAGAGTCAGAGATGACACTGTCACTGACATGACTGCCTGGAAGCAACAGCAGCCGCACAATTCCAGACACACACAAACACAGGCAGCCTTTCTCTTTCTGTCTTTCTCTCTCTTTCTCTCTCTCTCTCACACTAACACAGCCTTTCTCTATCTCTCTCTCTCTCTCTCTCTCTCTGTCTCTCTCTCACACACACACACACACACACACACACACACACACACACACACTCACACACGGTCAGTGACAAACAGACCCAGCCAATTGCATCCTTTTCTCTGACAGCCATGATGGATCACCCGTCCACTACCGCCACTAATCAAGGGTGAAAGGGGTGACGGTCACACACCTGGGGCCTGACATGGACTCATCTCTCTTCTTCTTCTCTGTCTTTTACACACACATAACTGCTGTTGTTCACATTAAGACATAGCAGAGACAGCAGGTTTATACAGTATGGTTGAACATTCTTAAAATCTCCCTGAGGCATCCGAAGTCTTCCTTGTTGTGTTTGTTGCAGGTTGCAGAACGCTTTCCTTCTTCTTCTTTTTGAATGAACTTTATTAAATGAATACGTGTGTAATATTAGCATGTGTTATTTTCTAAAAGAGATATATTAAATGCAGTTGTGAGCATTCCAGTATGAGCTTTAATAAAGAACAGGGTTGTAGCCAAGTATTTGTTCGAGGAACAGAAATATACAGTATATTATGATGTGATTTTTTACTTTACACTCTTCAGCTTCTTCTTTAAAATGCATCAGTGCAAGGAACAAGTAGCTGTTACAATCTTGTGCTTGCAAGAAAATAAGAATTGAGTCTCCAGTTGCCCTAAATGAGATCAAATGCCTTCTCTCTTTTTTAACTGTTTATATTTGATAATGTTTTGAGATATTTCATGGTTTTATGCTTTTTACTTGATTTTTAATGCCCTATCCAAACAACGTAAGGATCTGTAAAGTGCCGCCATTTTTCAGTCGTACCTAATGTTTTCTGGACAATATAACATAAATGAAATTATAGCATAAATCAATGATGTGATAAAGCTGGTCTGATGCTAAATTGTTATGGCTGAACGTCTTCAGGTGATTAAAAGGGTTCAATAACATTTGTCTCTTGTTAGATTGATATTGAGCTTTTTGTACTCCGATGCTTTCACATTGATTCCACCTGCCACCCACAACACACTGCCATTACAACAGCAAAGACGCACCTTCTCATGTCAACTCTTTTTTTCTTGATCACATCACATATTTCTTCTGAGGGTAAGTAGAAAAAAATGTATTTATTTTATTGATGATGACAAAAAAAATTGGAGAGACTTGCAGTATTTGAGAGATGAAAGAAAGCATGTTGAGCTTCAGTCCAGCGTGTCAATCATCCACAGACAGATGAAGGAAAGGTCAGAGATAGCCTCATGCAATGTTTGTCCACATTGTCTCAATCAGTTTCTTTCTTGTTTCTCTTGGCTTAAATATTTGTGCTAGCCTGTGCGTGTGGGAGCATGCGTGTTTATACACCACTTCCCACAGGACTGTGTGACCATATTCCAGCTGACATGCCGTTCAGGAGCCTGGTCACTAGTGCCGGCGTTTCAAAATGACAAGGTTTATTTGTCTGTGTTTTGATATGCTCAGAGGAAAGTGGGACTGACAGCCGGAGGAGGCAGGAAGAGGGGAGCCACAACAAGTTCCCCCCCGCACGACACAAAATGTCATCCTTCCCCTGACTGCAGCGCGCGCCCAGCCATCCTGCTGAAAAGAGCAGACATTTAAAACTTTGTGACATGTGTCACAGGCACTGCCATTGAGCCAGTGCCACTGATGGAGCTGGAATTGACAGGCTCCGAGCCACCGGAGCTGGCTGGGGGACACACCGAGTTTGGTGTGTGTCACTTCCTATCCTCGTCAGGGACGCATCCCGAGCTGCCACACCAACACAAACTGCATTATGGGATGGGCGGAGAGTGCCAGAGCCGGTTGACATATGCCTGACATGCGCCTCTGTGCATGTGAGGGTATGAATGGAAAGCCTGGCATCATGCACAGTAGGTTAATTAAGGTGTTAGCCACAGATCTACCTGTAGGCGATGCTCCCTGTGACCCTCGGCTCTGTCACTCCTTGAGAACTTCCTGGGTGAACAAATGGCATGCTACTTCATCAGAGCAGATCAGTGACATTCTGCTGTAGCCCCGCAGGCTTTCTTCTAGCCACTGATCAAAAAGATACACATCTGTACCTTCACATTTTCTGTGTGCTTGCGCTTCTACAAACCCCAGCTGGATGTCTGTTCACAGAATGTGCTGTGAATATTTGTTGGTGCTTTTAATTTCTTACATCCTTAAATATGTCATCCTGTCGGTGTATCGACAGTAAAAAAAAAAAAAAAAAAAACTAACCTTTGACCTATGTTTGGGTTAGACCCAAGTTTCCACAGGATTTAGTGCTGTATTCTAATTATAATCAGATTTGAGTGTGGAAAAGTGAATAAAGTAAAGATAGTCAAACATATATACTCATGATTTTTTTTTTACCTTGCTATTGAAGGATGGGATTTTCCCATAATGCACTGCATAAAGGAAACTTTATACCTACAATAGTGAGAGAGCCCTGGGAATACCTTGAAATATTTAAAAGATTCAAGATTCAAGATGGTTAGAAAACACTGACTTCTTGTCCACCAACACTGAAAAAAGATACTAAGAACATGTACTATTTAAAGTGCTTTCCTGTATTTTCACTGTGTTTGAAGCAAAGCAAACAGATGTTAACATTAATGTACAATATACAGTTTATTGTACAGTATATAGAGCTTTATATTGCACAGCACAGTTCACCTCCCCAAAAGGCACGATGGTGTCTGACTCACTGTCAAAAAAGCTTAAGGCCCAATCAAAGCGTCACTACATATCAGCCAGCAGTCTGATGACTGATTGGCATGAGCTAATGCAAATTTAGAAGGAGGCAGAGAGGGCAGAAAAGACTTGTCTTTATGAGTGACAACTGGCCACTGATAGCAGAGCAGCAAACAGGATGGGGTGAGATTTAGATTTAACCGTCCCTCTGGCTCCAGAACCCCCCCACACACACACACATACACACCTCCCTCCCTCCCTTCTTCTCTTTCCTTTTTCTCTGCTTCTCTACAAACTGTCCCTTTCACCTAAAGACATTTGGCAGCACACCCGTGTCTCACTTGATCCAGAGAGGCCTAAGGAGGGGGAGGGTCGCCCCTTATTTCCGGGGCCCGGTCTTAGATGAGTAACATTTGTCATTCAGGGTGGTGCTGAGGTAATTAGCTTGTCAGTGGGCACCAGGCTGAGCTGGCTCTTTCTGCGAAGAAAGATGGACAGACTGACACAGGAGCTGACAGCCAGTCGATAATGTGGCAATTAATGTCATAAATAATTCCACTGCCAATTATATCAAAATGGACTCTGTTCATTCACAGGGCCTGGTCCTCCCTTATCATTTCCTCTGATAAGGGGAACAACCGTCTTCACCCCTCTGTAATTATGGGGCTTTTTATATGGAAATACAACATGGCCTCACTCCCTCCACATGTTTATAGGAAAAGGGGAAAGAGGGAGACACGGACAATAAATGTAACCTGCTAATGAATCTGTGTTTTTATGCCCTTCACCTCGGGTATTTCTAGGGGTCACATAGCAAAACTGTGAGGCATTCCAAATGTCATTGGCCTGAACAAAAAGGGGAAAAAAAGCATAACTTGATTTGAAAACGAAGACAATTATGTGAGAGGGATCGATCAGAGCCGATGTTGTAAAGGTTGCAAAAGCTTAACCAACAGTGAGAATATTGATCCTGACGCCCCACCACTTGGTGGGAAAAATTATATCCATTCTCTGTCTCCAAGATGCAGGTCAATCAATCGCAGCGAGTGAGAATACATGATGAGCTGGAATCGGCAAGGGTTCACTGAATAGTAAATGCGCTGTGTATTAGATGGAAATAAAAAGGGAAAAGTGGGATTTTGCTTTGAAATTCTTATTATCCGCCGCCGTGGCCTGTTTCCATGGGCTCATTTGTCTCGACAAGTGACTCAGTCACTGTGAACGGTCCCCATCAGCCTGACACTAAACTCTTCCTGTGAAATGTATGAGCAAATAAAGTGAGCTCAGCACATGTAAAGGCCTCCTAATGCATTGTAAAACAGCCTTAAACACATCAGATGTATCTTGGGGACAGGAAGGTCGCTCTGATGGTAATATATGGTCTCTGCTGAGAAGTCTCAAGGTCGCGTCACATTCGCCTACATAATACATGATTTCCCGTTACTCTTAGAGACTCCAATCATGCCTGGCAAGTCTTGAGATGAAAATTTGACTAAGTAAATCAGCCACCTTGCTGGCATTTCTATTACCCCTCTGTGTGTGCTGACAGAGAAGATGAATAACACTAAATAATAACACGTGGTAATAAATCATATTTACTACTTGTACTGAGAAACACTGCAGCAGATATAAAACTGTTCGCTTTTTTTATTCTCTCATCTCGCCTGTATGGATTTAACTTCAGTTTTTTGTTTGTTGTGCATGTGTAAATGTGTTCTTTGTACTTTATGGAGATGAGTGTGTCACTCCTCCACTTGTCACTGTCATCTTGTTAGAGTGTGTGCGTAATTATTGTGTCATTTATTGCATGAGAATTGCTTGCTTTGAATAAAGCAGTTAAATGACCCTGTTAGCATAATTAATTTAAGCATCCTGAGGGGCTGCAAAGTCGCAGCCTCATGAATATTTATCATTGTCAGTGTCACTGCTAAATATTGTACAACAACAATGCAACATGTTTTTGTTTTTGAAGGGGAAAAGTGTTTGATGCAATTTTTAACTCTTTGTTTCTGGTTTACAATCTCTTCCCTAAATTGTCTTTGAACTGTTACGCGTCTCTACCAAGACGAAATGTGTAAAATACAAAATGACCTAAATGTTGGATGGATATTAAAAGAGACACTTTCTCTTTTAATCCTCATTAAAACAAAAGCTACATTCATTTGGCAGAAAACATACAGTAATTATACAGAAACGTACGACAGAGGGTTTGCATTTAATGCTCTCACCCTCAGGCCCTGCAGAGAATTATTAACACGACACAAATCATCCGCCGTTGATTTTACA